TAAAACCAGATACGTATTTATCATGCTAACAAAGTTATGCCATCATTATGTCCTTTTGATGCACAATTAAAAAAACTGCTGCCTCCAGGACCACAGGAAAACTAATGTAAAACCATTTTGTATTGATTTGACATCAAGGAAGGAAATGTCCTCACTCAGGACACGGCTCTCTTTTGCTTGAGCTTGTGAGTGTTTGTAACAGAGGGGGACAATTCTCAGCTAATGTCAACAGCCCATTTTTTTCAAGTAACACAACATTCCCTGAGTCAAGTGAGTGTTGTGGTCATAGCTATGGAGCCCAAGATGCTTCCCTGCTACCCCAGGTCCTTTCTTTAAACAGGCTGAGTAACTCCAGAAAAATAAACAAGAATAAAAAGCTAAATACAAATGTTGTGGATTTAGGGCATGACTTTCTTCCTGCCAAAGCCTTTGTGATTCTCTGGGGTGGAAGGGCTGCTGACATACAATGCTAGAAAGTACTAGAAGTCATCTAATTCCTGCAAAGTCAGCTTGTCTCCTGTGAGCATATCTGGACCCTCTCTGGTGCTCAGATGCCCAAGGAACAGATCAGCAACATTGAGGCTGCCCGTGCACATCTGCACAGCAAGCCTGTTGCTTCTCTTAACACACACATCTGCTAATGGCTTTCCATATCAGCAGGTTATGCAAAAGAGAGGCTTTCAGCATTAATAGATGCCTGTAAGAATGACCTGATAAAGAACTCCAGATATTTGCCATGATCCTGAAATTATCCACTGCTTGATAAAATCTAGCTGTGGTATTTAGCACTGCAGTTCTGCTTCAATAGCAGTCTAAATCAAAAGCAAGGCCAATGATCTTCACCTTGGTAGTGAGAAACAAGGTGCGATCTTAACCCCCTGGGGGTATTGAGCAGTTCCCAGTGGCACAGGCAACGTTACGTGAGCAAGAAGCCACAAGTTGGGATATTCCTCACTTCTTTTAAGTTTCTTTCTGTTTTTACTATAGACAGAATCATGTTCTTTAGTGCGTCTGGGAAATTGGAACCAGCACAGAAGTTTGCCAACAGAGGGTGCAGAGTTTATCCAATTAAGAAACTGCCTGCCAGCCTGACAAACTGACGATGAATCAGCAAAATCACCAGAAAATACTCAGCAAAGAGTAACTGTGTCTTGGCAGTGGTAGGCAAGATGACCTAATATGGCTTCTCTGTTAATACCTTGGCTGTTTGCTCACTGATTCAGTGGGCAATTTAAATTCCTCTCCAAACATTTAAAAGATGACACTCACTAAGTGGCCAGCCTCATTGGGAAAATGCCTGTGAAAGTTGCATCGCATGCTGTGCCTCTTGCTGGTTGCTCAGCAGATTGGGCAGTCATCACTGGAGCCCATGACTCCCCTGCACAGATACTAACAGGAAACACAGCTGGTGCTCTGGCAGCAGATGAGAGGAGCAACAAAGGAAACCAACAAAGGTTCTGAGTGTATAGAATGAGAAAATGCCCACCCCAGACAGGGTGATTATGTCCCATTGCATTATCTAATCCTTTTGCAGAAAGGGATTTGCCTAAAGGACATTTCTAAGAAGGCTCTACCAGTCCCCCATTCATAACTAGTACAGTTCACCCTGTGACACGACTGATTTCCATTTCTGAGTGCTGCTTAATAAAACAGCTCTTACTCAGATAGAAAGACACAGTCTAGTTGGACATAAATTAGAAACCTGACATCACAAAATGTAGTTTCCCTTAAAATAAACTCTGTGTGCTAAATCAGAATACTAACCTATTTGTTTTCTTCTGAGATATGACCAGCAATGCCTATCTGACAGGCTCAGTCGGACTGCTAACATGAGGGACAGGCACTCGTTCTGTGGTCAAGAAATGAATGCAGTCATTAAGCCAGGGAAATACTCTGTGGGGCTGATGCATCAGTTCTAGTAGGTCCCCATGCACGTGAGTTCAAATGCCTGCCATCTCCATCCTCCTCGGGCTCAGTCTGGGAAGGCAGCCTTGTTGTGGAATCACCTCCCTGATCTGTATCTCCCATCCAGTTTGCACAGACAAGAGGAGATCAGATTTCCCAGCAGGATTTGAAGACACACCACTCATGACTGCTTGAATGAAAAACATTTTTGTCAGTTAGCATATAAACATGTGATTTAAAGAAAAGAAATCATGCTTAATTACAGGGAACAGATGTTTTGTCATTGTGTAATTAAGCCTCAAATCTGATCTGAAAACATACAAATACAGAAATATAAATAATGCATTCTAATGGGCTCATATGCAAGGCTATTGCACTGAACACATACTGAACCCAAACCTCAGTTTTCATAGTGATCTTGAACAAAAGGCCTTAAAACACCTGACAAAAAAGAATCTAAAAATTCACTTAACAGTGAATGGCAATTTGATCTAAAAAAGTGCCATAGACAGAAAATTAAACCCAAGAATTGCCTCTTTTACAGTCAGCAATTTCCATTAAAGGTCAGATTTTAAAGCCTCCACTTCTAAGAACAGCCCCCATACTTCTTCACCAGTGCAAATAACTTCAATGCACCATTTATGCAGCAAAGCACTAGGAAAGATAAACACAAGAACCAGGATTTAAATAAATACTGCTATTAAAGTACAATGCCGAAACTTTTGCACATTTGCAGAACCAGACAAAGGCCAGGCCCTGTTCCAAGGAATTTTAATTCCCCATAAAGCTACATAACCATATGGAGAGGCCCCAGCCAAAACAAGGGGTTCACAATACCTTCCTCAGGGTCAGTGCACAAAGCAATCAGGCAGCCTGTGGCTGAGGAACACATGTTTTGTGCTGTAAAAGGGTTATTCCTCAGGATCTGTTACTTGGCAATGAGAGGACAGGGGGTCTGCTCGGTGCCTGAAGTGTGCTCTCCACTGGCTCTGGAAGAAGATGTCTTGAATTCTGCCTTGATGGGGCAGAAATGGCTAACAGTAATCACCTTACGCTCAGAGGACCCAGTTTGCAGCAGGAAGAGGACAAATTCATTCATTCCTCACTTAGGAAGAGACCTGGTGGGCAGCTATTTTGTGTGCAGCTATTTGGTCAGCACTGGCTATCTCCCTGGTAAGTGTCTGAGAGAGTGTTTGCCCAGAGAGCCTATTCTATAGTAGAGGAAACTATGAAGCAAACTCATTCTGGTTATCTGAAGGGAAACTTCCTTCCTTAGCTGCCAAGCACTGCTGCTGCACCTGGAAGTGGTAGCAGCATGGAGCTTTTCTCTGGCCTTGGTGGGTGAGCCCAGGGCTCTGGCCAGGATCAAAGTCCTGAGGGTAAATTTCATTGAGTTGCAAACCTGGGGCTGTTGCATATTAAAGTTCTATAATATCACAAGAACAATGAAGTTTAGCCCTCTCTGATGTTACTTTAGGGTGATTAAGAGTAGATACTGACCAGTAGTCTGCTGTGGAAGACATACAATTCTGATAAAGTAACTCAGCCAAGGTTACTGACACACTGTTTATATTAGTGTTTATATTTAGTGCATCCTCTTTTCTCCTAACCCTTCAGACCTGAATAATTAGTCAAAAATTCGAGGTGTTGTAGATTGTTCCACTTAAGTGGAGAAAAAAGGGACAGAGTCAATTACATTCGTACATATCCAGTAACAAAAGCAGACTGCTTCACAGAGTGCAAAAGGAAGGAAACAATCCCAAACCATTTCCTCCCACATAACTTTAAGCCTCTGTCAGACAGTGCCCACAAACTCCCTCTCCAGACATAATCACAGGGTCATTGTTTTCCATGACAGGTCAGGCTCCCTGGAAATTCCAGAAGTGAGAACCACCAGTCCTTGGAGGACTGGCAGAGACAATGGCACTGCTTTGCTTTCATAAAAAAAGGCTGGAAAAAAGCCATAATCGACACCATCTCATAACACAAACGTGGCGTGTGAGAAATTACTTGGCAGGATGTTGAGCCCAGGTACAATGGACAAATGTTCTGTGTAAAGAAATAAGTACTTGGAAAAGGAATTTAAAGTCAAAACTCTAGTTTTGCTGCTGTGTGATGGATTTCACAGGCTGCTACTCTGTTAAACACCGATTAGCATATTTAAGACTCAGCCCTGGCTCCTGTCTTTCAGGCCTCCTATACCTTTGAAATTAAGTTATAATGGAGTTCTCAAAGCTTAAATTAGCTAACACGCAGCTTACATGCTGATTATGTTTGCATGACAGCATGCATGCACATGTGTGAACAGTTACATCCTCTGTCAGTTTGTGCATTTCATATTTCTTGCGTGTATCTGTAACGTGGCTGACAATGTGCCTGTGCTGTGGCTGTGGCCCCGAGTGGGATGACACACTGCCTTGTGCGTATGAAAGCCAGGTTGCAGGCAGCTCCCAATTATCTGTAAAGCCAAAACCTCCTGAGCGTGCCGATTCTGCTGCGGGTGCACTTCTGCACATGCCAATTTGCTGAGAACAAGCCCCAGCGAGCCGTGCTAGCAGAACCAGCAGCGCGGTGGTTCTGTGCCTGCCCAGATGTGAGTCCCAGCTCCGTCCCTGCGCAGAGGCTGGAGGTGCGGCCGGGCACATCTCAGCGCTGCATCCCCCGGGGGGTGGCTGCCGCACCACCGCTGCGCTTGAGCGCCCGGACCCGTCCCGGGGCCGTGGCAGCGGCCAGAAGCGGGGGTCGGGACGAGCCGCTCAGGGTCCGCGGCCGCACGTGCCCCGCTGTCACCGCTCAGCGCCCGGCTCCCAGCGAGCCCCCTCCAGGCGGAGCCGTGCCGGGGCCGCCAGCGCCGCTCCCGCGGCTCCCGACGGCCCCGCTCCGCGCCGCTCCCCGCGGCCGGCGCCGCTCCGAGCACCGGAGCGCGAAAGGACGGGAGCCGCCGGTGAGCGGAGCCGCCGGTGAGCGCGCCCGCCGAGCCGCCCCCAGCGCCTGCCCCTCGGGCCGCCCCGCTCCCCGCCCCGCGCCCCTCTCCGCGCCGCGCGGGGCCGCCCCGCCGAGGAGCCCCCGCCCAGCGGCCCCGGCCCCGGCCCCGGCCCCTTCCCGGCGGCGCGGCGGGCGGGCATGGCGGCGGGCGGGCGGCGCGGCGGCGAGGAGCTGCCGGTGTACCTGGCGCGGCCGGGCACGGCGGCGGCGCCCCGGCAGAAGCGCGGCGGGCTCTTCTGCAGCGTCGAGGGCGCCTTCGAGAGCAAGACCCTGGACTTCGGCGCCCTGCGCGTCGGGCAGCGCCGCGCCCCGCCGCCCGCCGCCAGCCCCGGCCCCGACCCCGGCCCCGGCGCCGACCCCGGCCCCGGCCCCGGCCCCGACCCCGACGAGGTCCGCGCCGCCTCGGACAAGGAGCGGCTCCAGAACCTGTGCCCCGACGACGACAAGGTGGGGGCCGGGCCCGGCCGGCCGCGGCGGGGGCGCGGGGCGGCGGCGGCGGAGCTCGTCCCGGGGCGGCGGGGCTGGGCTCGGCGGCGGAGCGGGGCGCGGGGCGGGCGCGGAGCTGCCGCCGCTCTGCTGCGCGGGGCTGAGCCCGGCGGCTCCGGAGCCCAGCGCGGGAGACGCGGGCCCGCGGGGCTCGGCGGCTCCGGGCGAAGCAGGAGGAGGGGGCAGCCGCCGGGCGCCGTCGTGACGAACAGTAACTTGCAGCGAAGTCAGTTGCTTGGAGGAGCTGCAGGCAGCGCGGGCTGCAGCTGCAGCTCAGGATGTGTTTTTTTTTTTTTTTTTTTCCCCTGCTAGTTCTGGTTAACCAGGAGGCTCCACATTGTCCTCCTGCAATTCCTTAAAGGAGGGAAAGAAGGAAAAAGAAGGCTTTGCTGTCATCTTCCAGTTCGCAGAGCTCCTGCCTGCGATGTGCCATGTCAGCGATTTTTGGAAATAGAATCAAAAGATCCACACCCCATTACCAAGAATGGTAAAGCTAAGCATTAGAATAGCTGACTCTTTTTACTGTGTTTGCTCTTTGTAAACCTGAATTGAAGGACATCTTCCCCTTCCTCTCCCAAAGACGGGATTTTGGACTTGTTACTCTTTGGAGTAACCCCTGCCAGGTCCTGATCTTCATTGACACAAATCAGAAGTACCGTATCTGAGGCTGGGGACATCATGTTGGTCTGCAACTGACACCAGCGAAGGTGGTGTGCATCAGGCACAAAGTTCCTAAACTCATACCAATCTCAAAGTAATAAATAAATACTCTCCTAGCTCAGCAGCATATATTCTTCAGCCAGAGATTGAGATTGCTTGCTTTTTTTGTGCTGATCCCATACGCACCCGTGTGAGTTTGACAGGAAGATCATTAAGTTAATAACGCTGAGGAAATGCTTCAGTTGGGATTTCGGAGAGTCTGTTACTCATTTGCCTATAAGGCACTTGCTGGCCTGTGGGTCAGTGAGTAAATCTGAGGCTAAACTTTTCAGTAAATAGTAAGCATAAGGGCAATGTTTTTCAAGGGTGAACAGGGCAAATAAATAGAGCCCATTTTAAAAAATGGAAGCAAAAATCACTAAAACAAATAGCAACCTTGCAACTTAGCCTGAAGAAATGATTTGGTGATCTCAGGGTTCTGCAGAAACCTCAGCTTGTATCCAGGGTACAAATTTTGACAAAATGCAAACACTTATGATCTTAAGGACTAAACTCACCAGCTGGAGCCTGGTGGGAGCAGAAGCAGTGAAGTGCAATGACTTGGCCTGTTATGGCTTTTGGGAAATACATCAGGCGGTCCTCAAGGTCTGCTGGCTTCTGTAAGAGCTTCTGGCTAGGCAATTGGTTACTTTGAGGTTTCTTCCTTGCACATTTCTTTACTCTCTGCTTTTTGGTTTCTTATTGGCACAATATTTGGTTCCTGCTGTTGAGCTTTGCTCCTTTTACAGTCCATTTTACTGAAATGGGAAGAAAATTAACACTATTCCTGTCAGCACTGACCTTGTCTGTATGGTTCAAATAGCAGCTGCAGAATTGAACACTGAAGTAACATTAAGCTGCTGTTTGTTGGAAAAGAAAAGGAAACTTGTGACAGCCTGTCTGCAGGCTTTGCTCAGAGCTTCTCTGTATTAGCTGTACCAGTAACTTGGAAGTGTTGTTCCCTTTTAAGGTCTTGTCTAGACCCTTGTCTCCAGAGTTTTGTAGCTGAGGTTTTCCTTCAACAACTCCTCTCTTCCCAATGTTTTCTACTCCTAGATTTCTTCCTCTGAGGCCTTCTGCCTGATAAGCATCAGCAACCAAACCCTTTTAATCTGCACTTAGTGCCTGAGAAGGTGGGAAGCTTCACATATAAATGCTCGTGACTACATGACGAGAAGGAATCGTATGACTTTCTACTACAACTTTCAAGTTCAAGAGTGTCCCAGAGTACGACAGTCCTGATGGGAAACACCCATCTTGCATACTGAGCCACACTATGGCAGGTTAATGTGTCTGTACAACCACAAAGAGTTTGCTTGCATTGAGCTTTTTGCAGATTCAGAGCACACAAAAGCTCCTTTGTCAAGACAAATTGAAATCAAACTTCTTTGAATAACTTGACAGATTAAGAAACAGAGAGAAAGGTTAAGTGACCTACCCTTGACCAAATAACTATTTACTAGGAAAGCTGAGAATAAAGGACTTGCCTCTGCAGAAAGCAGCAGATAGAGTTTTATATCCTAGTTTTTCAACGAACAAATACTTGGAAATATAACATAGCAACACACCACTTCTTTTTAATGGCATTAATTATAATTAAAGCACCACTATCTCTGCAGGAAGATGACTGCAATGTATAACTGTCCTGTGATAATATGTAACGTCATACAACCTGTCAGTGTAATACAGGGCCAGCTAGATGTTTCAACCTCACTTCACTTTATTGCAAAGTGTATTGGAAGGTCAAAAACAGAGCTGTGGATTCAGGCACAGTGAAGTAATACTGCTGTGCTACTGCACGGTGTATGTTTAAGAGCAGTTAGGTGCCTTGCCTTTGCTTCATCAGTGGGAGTCAGAGCTTTGCCAGTTGATCTGGGGGTAATGGCAGTGAGCACTCTTTCAGGCCAGAGAGTCAGAGGCAGCTGGGGTCGGGGCTGTGGCTGTGGGGGCTGCTGTATGCCTGCACAGCTTTCTGGACTTGCAGATTACATCACATATTTTACTATAGTGAAGTCAGAGTTTTGTGTGGCTCACAGGCAGCACCCTCTGAATTCCTGTGGTGGGGGCATTCACAGGGGGCTGGTAATGTGTAAATACAGCCTGCAGGGCTCCTCTGTGCTCTGCTGGGCATCTGCAGAAGCAGTGTGGCTTTGAGGAGTAGAGGAGCGAGCTTTACAGGCACAGGGTCTCCTCTGTGCTTGGTGCCTAGGAAGACAGTAAAGCAGAATCCTGTGGTAGCCTCCTTAATGGACCTCCTCGGGGCTCAGCTGTACGAGATCGCTGCTCTTCCATCCTTCTGTTCAGTAACACAGGCGAGGAGCGCTTGGCTTGTTATGCTTACCCCAGACTTCTTGTCCCATCCTGCTGCGTGGTTCTGCAGTGAAGTCTTCATTTCCACGGCAACTGGCCGTGGTCCCACAAACAGGGGATTGCAGCTTCAGCGCGGGCTGAGGCTGCGCTGTCAGCCAGGCTGTGAGGGAGCGGGCTGGGCTGTAGCTGAAGGCAGCGGGGCGAGGCGCCACGCGCTGAGTGGGCCCTGGGGACCCTCCCACCAGCTATTGGCTTCTTCCCGCAGGTGGCCAGCGCCATGCAGGCCCCGTTCCATCCAGTTGTGTGACACCACTCAGATTGTTTGTGCTAAATCTTGGGATGACAGAGGGCTCTGCCTCAAATGGAGAAGGAAGCTTGAGCTAACTCTGTTCTCTCTTATTTTTTCTTTTTCTGACACTCGTAAAATTTGCTATGACTTCAGCATTCAGCTTTTTGTTTCCATTACCAGTAATTTATGGCAGAAACTCCAAGCCAACAGCAGTCTTTTCCTTACTAGTGAACTTAGTGTGATCTAGAAATTGCAGTTGTGCACGTCCTTTTAGCACCATTTAAAATCTTGCATTTATGCAAGTGATCATAAAGCACTTTGATGGCATTGATTCATAGCTTCCATGCCACCCCCTTCAACAGAGAGCTGAGGAAAGGTTTTTGTTATTTCTGGTATTTCTGTAGAATATAGGAACAAACCCAGGCACTGGACTAGTTCGAACAATGCAAATACAAGAGTAAAACCTATATTGTAATTGCTGGGGTTTTATGCTAAATAAGCTCATTTTTATTGAAAAAAAAAATCTTGCATATTTTTTTTTTAAGAAAGCTGTTGCCTGCAGAACAATAATTGGTCATTTCTTTGGCTGTTAATGACAGGATACAGGTGCTTGCCAGCATTTAACAAAACTACAAAGTTTGTTAAGCTGTGCTGTATGCGGTCAGAGCTTTGCATGGATATAGAGGGATTCTGGCCTGTTGGTGTAGAAGGCATTATGTGCTGGGAAAGGAGTTTATTTCTATGTCGGTGATACAGTTTAGCATGCTCTTTACCTTTGCAAACTGATAGCTCAAAATAATATTTAAAATGCAGAGCCAGTATTATTGCCCCCACATCTGACAACCAATAGTAGGTCCTAGCTCTGTCACATTTTATGGAGGCAATGGGGAATCACCATGCAGGCCGTGAATGTCACAGTAGGCAACATGTTCTAGCGATGGCTCATTCCAGTAGATAAGAGAGATGATGCTTCTTTTAATACTGTACATATGGTCTCCAAGGTCGACAGAAACCATAGCAAGATGTACACATGCAACATTTCCTGATCCTGCACGAGGAAAAGTCTGTTCTCATGCATAGCCTCCAGAGTAGCTGAGATTGTTCCTCCACTGACCACAGACCAGCAGTAGGCTCGCTTATTGCTCTGGTGGGGATGCCACAAGAAAAACACCTGCAGCAGGAGGTGACATCAGTGATTCAGTAGCTTTGCATCTTTCCTCTGAAGTGCTTCTGGATCGTGCCAGCCTGGCATAGTACAAGGGTCTGTGTCCCTGCCCAGCTGCTAGCTGTAGGGTGAGATGCGGAAACGAAGGGCTGATTCCCACATATTTGTGCTTGTGACAGATCCTGAGCCCCTTCGTGGGTGATGGTGACACAAGAATCTGCTCAACTACAGGGGAGGGGACAACGATGCTTTGCCTCTGCCCCATGTGGCTGGGGGCCCTATCACAAAACATGGCTTCCCGCGGCCTTCTGCAGGACGTCTGCAGGTCTGGGGCTCCAAGTAGAAGCTGGAAGAAGCGTGTGGCTTCCTCACACAGCACCTCGCTGTAGCAGTGCCAGGGGGTGGTCACGTAGTGTGAGCATCCCAGCTGGTAGCATTTCATCAGTAACCAGATTTTGGGAGCCAAACAAATTCCACATGGGTATTTGTGGTTGTCAT